CCTTGCACGCTTTGCCCTGTACTTGGCGTCTCTTGCTGATCTCTGCTCGACGTATTCGCCGTACATGTTGTCAAGGTCTCGTTCAAGACGATCCTCTTCGTCGTCAGTTTCCGGTTCCTCCTCTTCTTCCTCTGGCTGTTCGCGTTCAATGACTTGCGCCATTCTACCCTTGGCGATCCTGTTCAGAGCACCGGCCTTGTCGACTGCCTTGAGACCGAACATGGAATCCTCGCCAGTTGGTCCGGCCTGTTCCAGACCGATCTCAAAAGGTGTAGCCATGTTCATTTGTAGACGAGTGATCTCTTTTTGCTTCCGCTCGTTCTCAGCTCGGCGCTGCTTCTTTCTCGACTTTGAGTCTTTCTCCTTCAGTCGCTCCAACTCCTCTTGAATCTGCATCTCCTCGTCCATCGACTCGATCTCAGCGACCTCATCGCCTTCTTGCGCTTCTTTGGCCTTGGCTTCTTCTTGAGCCTTCGTCTTCTTGGTCGCGAAACCGAAGATCTCGCGTACCCTCAGACGCCAGCGCAGAAGGCGCTTGAAGTCAGCGCGACCCAAGACCTTTAGATCGGCACAGCAGTCCCTGATTTCCTTTGTAGTCTCCGGAAGCTTGTCGATGGTCGCGACAGCAATGTCGCCGTTCGGCTTCTGTTCGAAGCTGAGCTTGTTCAAGCCACCCAGCATAGCGATGGGATCGGTAGTTTGGATGAAGTCTGAGACGGGCACCTCTTTGAACTGTGTCCAGTCGCCCTCCTCGTAACCCTCACGCTTCCTCTTCTTGACCTCAGGCTTGAAAACCTTGGCTTCGTTGTTCGGGGTAGGGTCTGAGAGTTCGGCGAAGACACTGCGGGCGTCGAGGAACTTGGGATCGAGGTGCTTCGGGGCTTTGTAACCGCGGCAGACGACGAAGATTTCGGCGGAGACGTTTCGGGAGGATGGCGGCTTGGTTGCTTCGACCTTGGTGAATAGCTGGTTAAACACCCAAAGGAGTGAGTTGTAGTCCTTGGATCTGAAAATCTTGGTGACGAAGGTTCCTCCTTCGACCAAGAACTCTGTAGCCAGCTTCATAGATTGTAGGACGAGCTCTGCTTGCGTGAAGGCATCCTGCACCCAGGCAGTTCCGACGTTGGGCGCACCATCGTGGAGGACAGTGTCGCACTTGAGGTGCTTAAGATGTTGGCGCAGCGTCGCTCGGCACTTGTCCGTGGTAATGTCGCTCTGGAAGGTGATGCATCGCGGAATGGGCTTGATTGGGGCGAGATCGACACCGACGATGAGGGAATGCGCGGGCATAACCTGGGGGTTTTAGCATGTAGGCGCATGGTGTATAGAATGGTAACGTACCTCGGAAGCGACCTGACACCATGATCCGGGCGCGGCGCAAAGATCAATCAAGACTTTGCTCTTCTCGAGGAAGTTGTACTTCTTGTTCAGCTGGATCAACTTGAAGGCGGCACGCGCACGATAGCCCTTCTCCTTGGCGAGCTTGTACCATTTGTCGAGACGACCTTTTCCGTGCTTTTGGAAATTAGTCACTATCGCCAGTATTAATTCTGTACTTGCGCACCTTCTTTTGGATCGCCATTGCTGCGGTATGGCGTCGTGGTACAGCGGGCAAAAGTTCGCGCTACAAAATTTGGGAAGCCCGGCAATATCGCTAGGCGGTGGCAGAATGCACGCTATCAGGATACGCTAATCCGGGACTAGTGCACGGGATGGGCCCACATGCGTCATTGCTGGTTCAGCACGACGCGCCTGGTCCACCTCGGGATGAAGGTATGCTGCCAACTTCACGTGTCTTGCCCGTGCTGATGCTTGCTCCAGCGGTCGCATCGCCTTCTTAGCTCCTTCACCCTCCCTGCCGGAATGAACCCACGCAAGAAGTCCAAGCCAAACCCCGAGGCTCCCTCCGACACATCCACCAAGGCCCCAGCAGTCCCACAGGATGCAAGTACGACCGACACTACTCCCAGCAGTAGTGACATCCTGCCAGATGCACTCTCGGACCAGTCGGTCGCAGCGTCAACGTCTTCAGTTGGCGCCACTACACCGACCGCCTCCGGGACACAGACACCGCGAGGCAAGAGGTGGCTTTCGGGCACGGGCAGTTGGCGGTCGAAAGCGCCTGCCATAGTCCAGACCGCGAAGGAAAGCATCGGAGTCAGCGGGGGCGCTACAGGCGAACTACCTGATGAGGAAGCGAAGAAGCCGAGAGACGAGTCGCCCAAGAAGTTCCTCACCAAGCGCAAGTCGAGCAAAGGCGATGCCATACCCGCCTCCATCACCCAGGTGAACGTATCCTCAGACGGTCTCCTCGACGAAGCTCCAAAGCCACAGTCACAGCCACAAGATGTCGAAGAGACACCAACGCCCCAAGTATCCGAGCCGCCATTGCCTCCCGAACCGCCCAAATCACAAGTGGACGCAGCTGCTAGTGCATGGGGATGGAAATCTTGGTGGTCACGCCCCGACGGGTACGCAGACCCGGCTAAACTCAAAAGTGAGGCACACTCAAGTGTTGACGAGGCTTCCACCACGCCACTTCCTGGACCGACACCTTCAGAAGAGCCAGATGCGCAAACGAAGGGCCTAGATGTCGGCACTATCCAACCCGACACCGATCAGGTCGCAGATGCAGATGGGAAGGATACGCCGAAAGAAGCGGCACCTCGTCCAGATACAGAGTCGAGGGCTATAGCATCTACAACTGCCAAAGTCCTGGCGAGAGCTGCATCTGGCTCTTGGTTTTGGACGTGGAGTAGTGCACAGAATGCGCAAGCGAATCCACCTCCAGTCGAACCTCCCACTGAGAACAACGACTCAGCTAAAGTCGATACCGAACCGCAGACTCTCCCCGAAGCACCTGCCGAGATCGAACCCACTGCGCCGCAAGAGACAACAGCACCCACCGCCCCGGATGCGCCTATCGAAACCCCTCAAAAGAGTACTACAGAACCCTCAAAAACCTCCGCATGGGCTTTTTGGTATAGGGGCAAGCCAGAAGACGAAAAGAAGCCAGGAGAGGCCGGACCGCAGAAACATGTCGGCGAGGTCGCAGTGTTCGATACCCCCTCACAATCGAATCCAGAAGCAGCGCAGTTCAACGAGCAAGAGCAGCCCAAAACAGACACAGAGACACCCAAAGAACCACAGCAGCCACCCAAAGAGGAACCGGTGACCAAGAAATCGTTTGCATCGTTACGAGGCAGACCGAAGACAAAGCCTCCCGCTAAAGACACGCCAGCAGATACCCCGACGTCAAGTAAGCCCGCTACGCCGACGAAGGCCTCACCAGTGCTCGATCCTACGAAACCCGAGACGAAGCCCGACGCGAAACCCGAGACAGGAACTGCTGCTAAGCAAGCGCTCAAGCAGGCAGCGAAGGCCAAGCAAGGACCGGCGAACCTCCTGCTACCAGAATTCAGGACCACCTACCAAATGGTCCAGCAACCAAACTTCTGGAAGCAGATCCGGCGATACTTCCTCGGAGGCGAGCCTGCGACCCCTCACCTACATATCAACCCGGCACCGCCGAAGATCAAGAAGGCTGTAGCGATTGGCGTACATGGCTTCTTCCCTGCGCCTATCATTCAGAAGGTGCTAGGGCAACCAACGGGTACATCAATTCGATTCGCGAATGCAGCGGCAGCAGCGATTAAAGACTGGACCGAAGCGCGGGGATACAGTCCAGAGATTGAGCAGATAGCATTAGAAGGAGAGGGCTTCATTGCTGAGCGCGTCAACTCTTTGTGGAAACTCTTGCTGAACTGGATCGATCACCTGAAGCAAGCCGACTTCATCTTGGTCGCCTGCCACTCGCAGGGTGTGCCGGTAGCTATGATGCTTGTCGCAAAGCTCATACAATTTGGATGTGTCAATGCAACGAGAATCGGAGTATGCGCCATGGCCGGTGTCAACATGGGCCCATTCATCGAGTACAAGACGAAGTACTTTGGCCCTACGGCTGCCGAGTTGTTCGAGTTCTCCAACCCCAAGAATCTTGTTAGCCAGATGTATCTCGCAGCTCTGGACGAAGTCCTTCGATTCGGTGTACGGATACTGTACGTTGGTAGTATCGACGACCAGCTGGTCTCTCTTGAAGTAAGTAGATTCTTCTGAAAGGAAATTCTTGCGCCCTACTAACACATGCCAGTCATCAACCTTCTCTACGCTCTCGCACCCCTATATATATCGCGCAGTCTTCGTCGATGGCCGCATACATGCGCCAGACTTCCTAACCCACCTTGTTGGCTTCGCGCTGAAGCTACGCAATCTGGGTCTGCCCGATCACGGTCTTATTCGCGAACTCTCACCTGCCCTCGCAGGCTCCCTATATGGCGGCGAAGGCCACTCCCGCGTCTACGAAGACCCTGCCATCTATTCCCTAGCCGTCCAACACGCCCTCGAAACAACATCCCTACCGACACCGACAACGACTAAAGAGCGACCGAACACCGCGGGCAGTTTCCAGGGCATCAACATCCCGATCATTGGTGAGAAGCTCGCAAGTAACAGTAAGAAGGAGGATGTATTCAAACTCCGGGTGAATCATTACGAGCCATCTGCCACCACAACAAACCCGAACCCTTACTTCTTACCTTGGGCCATGAGAGGGTTGCTAGAAGAAGAGTTCGTTAAAAAAGAGCTTGGAGATGAGGTCGAGAAGTTGCTGGGCATGTTTGAGGCGTGGAAGCCAACAGGGAAACAGCTCAAAGATGTGAAATTTAGACTTGAGGGAGTGCGGAGTAAGCTCTAAGCACCTGATCGAGACGGCAATGTTTAGTGTCACTGTATGAATATGTGAGCGTTATCTGGTTTCAGTAGGCGTTCACGAGGCGCTCAATTTACGTGGCGGGAAGATACCATACAATAGGCGTAGAACACATAGCGTATTGCGTTTATACGATTGATTTGCAGATATATGCACATCTTCTCCCGCTTGTAAACGCACGGTGGTCGTTTCGCTAGCGACTCACGACGGCAGATCTACACAATCCTTCCTCTTAGTTGTCATCGTAGAAGATCTCCTTGTACCGATGTGTAGCATCCACAACAGCATTTGCGGCATTAAAGTCTACTCTTGCGTTAGCATGAATCCCACTGCGTAAGGGAGGGCACATGCCGATGTTCGTCCCAAAGTCCGTAGCAGCTTGTACCTTGACATGCAGATTCTGGTCTACCTTGCCGATGATCTCTACTGCGTGACCGACGGCGAGGTGTGAATCCTAGTCAATCGATGTCAGCTTGAATGACGTGAAAATGAAGATCAGATTGCTTACCCTGTTCAGAATAACATCAACATTGCCTCCTGCATCAATGACTGCTGTCTCGCCGCGTAGTTGCACGACTTTACCTAGCATGCGTACGATGCGGTGTTGGAAGTTTGATAGGTGTGGGGCGAGGATGCGGGGGGTTTGTGGGTGGTCCATGGTGAAGCTAGCTTTTTTTGAGATTTCCTGCGGAGAAACTTTGTGAGCGGTTGGTGTAGCGTTAATGCGGTGTGCTTCTGCCGGGTGATTGTGTGTGGTAGGCGGAGATGGTGCTGCGTATTGTGGTGTAGTATGGGCAGGGCGGCAAGGTGGAGATGGAGGAAGGTTTGACGCGTCGCGTAAAATGCGCTAGCACGTGATGGCGCTTGAGCTCCTGATCGTATCTCGGCCAGCGGGAATGAGACGAAACCTCCACACCCGAGCTTCTCAAATCGGAACCATAAATCCTCTAATTAACAGACATCAACATGGATGTCATCCACAGATACGATGTACTACCTTCACCAGGGCAAGCCTGCACCTCTCTGCGGGCATTCGGCGCTCACATATCGCGACGCGACTTCATATAACGAATGCGTGTTCTTCGACCTCGAGACTGCGATCTGGTCATGCGCAAACTGGACTCGGTTTCATCTATCACTCCGATATGTTCTCGACTTTTTCTCGAAACTGGTCCGTCGTCATACAGCTCCATTTGCTCGTTGGTAGCAACCCAAAACATGTTCGCTTGTCTAACCGCAAGGCACAATCAATATAATGATTGACTTCACGATCAGCTTTCCTTGCGTGTAGTCGCTTTCTCATGATAAAACAATGATTTTGGAGCATCACACCGCTTGCGCGTGTAATCATCACCGTTTGTGTGCAGATATTCTCGCGAGTGTGCCTCTGACCAGCAAGCTGAATGGGTAAGCTGGAGGTATATTAAGGATCTGCAGTTCTGATGCAAAAGTCACACCAGAGCCACTGGGCAATTTTAGAACAGCTATCTTCATTCCAGTCGCGGATACCCACGGTAATGGCAACACAGGCTGCCGAGAAGCACGACGCCCTGACGGTTTGGGCCAACGACACAACTCACGACTTCTACTACCCTCCTTCCGATTCACAAGTACCAGACGATCCAGTCAGAACGGAACCTGGTCGCGCATGGGATGAGGCCGACTTCGCGAAGAAACAAGCGTCACTGGCCTACGCAGTCAACAAGAATAAACCACCACACGCCGGAAGATTTCCCATTCGGACTAAACTCCAACCTCTCGATAGCGGCTCGAAGAAAACGATCTTGACCAACCATTTCCAGCTGAAGACGCGCGACAAGGAACTCTACGAGTACGAAATTCTCGATCTCGACGCGGACGGTCCGACTCGGAAAAAGATCCAGGCTTTGTTTCGTAAAGCAGTCGATACATGGCCTTTCCTTAACGCCCACCAGGACAGTTTCGCTACAGACGGCCAGAAAACCATCGTATCTTGGAAAAGCCTGCACAGTAACATGGACCCTAGCACGCTCGAAGCAGGCGCTTCATCTACTTGGCGCCGCGATCTTGTAGTCAATAGCGCTATTACCATCCCAGCGCGTTTCAGCTTCGTTGGAACGGTCGATGTTGCTGGTCTCATCCAGCAGAGCGAGAGTAACCCGGACCAAGAAAAGACTGACCATACTTCTGCGGAGCGGTGTCTTAACATCCTTATTGCGAAGAGCTTTGACGTAAGCGTAGTCCGGCTTTCTGGAAAGAAATTCTACGTAAGAAAAGCTCGCGCAAACCTTGGAAGTTCCACGTCGCTTGAGATCATTCGAGGCTACCATTACGCTGTCAGGCCGGGTATGGGAAACCTGCTCATGAACTTCAACGTTGCGACTAGTGCATTCTTTCGTCCAATCCTTGTAAGCGAGTTTCTTGCGGATCGTGGCACCTTTAGCAGCGACTAGGAACGAAGAATAGAGTACGCCTTTAACTTAGACTGCGGTCTAGTCCTAAGTTAGGCTAGGTCTTTAAGATAGTACTTTAGTATATAGTATAATTATAATAGCTTTAATATTATTTACTAAAGTATTTAGTATATTACTATAGTACTATAGTTGCTAGTAAAGCTAATAATTTAAAGAGATACTATTAGTTACTAAAAAATACTAGTAACTTTTAAAAGAATATTTCTTAGTTATAATAAGTTAAAGTTTTTAAGTATAATAGTATATAAAGCTACTTATATACTACTAATATTCTTCTCTTTTTTATATAACTTTATAATAGTAATTTTTATAATACTAACTTATATAACTATAAAAAAGATTAACTCTAGTATAATTACGTCTAAGCTAGTACTTATAGAGTAGAAAGCTAATAATACTTAGCTTAAGATAATAATAATTTTAGCTACTAACTTAGTAACTTTAAAGAAAAGTAGACTTTAGTATTATAACTATAGAATCTAGTACTAAAAGAGCGTCTATAGTATATAAAAAAAACACTTTAGTTATTATATAATACTAATAGCTAAAGTTTAAAAGCTAAGTTAAAAAATAAAAAGAAATACTAAAATTATAATAATTATAATACTACTTTTTATTAGCAAACTAACAATTCTATAGTAAGCTAGTTTAAAAAGAGTAAGGTCTGTTACTAGTACACAAAAAGACGTATTTCTAAAAGAGTTAAAATTCTACGTTTAGAGGTGTAGGCGTTAGGTAGACTAAGGCTTAGATTTTTAGCGCTACTACCTTTAGCGTAGTTAAAGCTTCTAAAATTTAGACTAGCAAGGTAACTATTTTATAAATACTAATATCTACCTATAGTAGAGAAGATTATAATATAATTATATATTCTTAATAGCTTATAACTAACTAAGCTATAGATTATAAAGTAATAAAATACTAAAATCTTAGCTTGCAAAATTGTACTTCTACTATATATATACCCTCTATTTCTATCTCTATCTCTATTCTTATTCTTATTTTTATTCTATAGCTTATAGCAAAATTAAAGATCTAAAGACTTATTAAAGACGTAAATAGTAGCTTAAATCTAATACTAAAAGCTACACTAATACGTATATTAAATAAGCCTTTAACTATATCTTTACTCTCTTCTATAAGTTCTTCTAGCGTTAGTAAGTCTACTTAAAGCTAATCTTATTACTAGTTATATTACCTTGCTATCTTACTAAAGCTTAATTAAGCCTCTTATTATTACTATATTAATTATTTTTCTCTTAAACGTATTACTATTACTCTATAAGTTTTCTTAAGATTATTATCTTAGAAGCTATTATAAAGGCTATTATAAACTACTATATTTATACTATACTAAAAGCTATTATAAGCGCTCTAAAGAGCTACTTTACTAGTATAAAGCTACACGCTAGGCTTATTAACGTTTCTATTACCTCTATTTTTATTACTTCTATCTCTATTATCTCTACTATATATATAGTTAGCGTAAGATCTTCTATTATTTTCTTTTCTATTTTTGCTTTTAAAGAGCTTATTAGTAAGATATATAAGCTCTTTAGTAGTTATAGTTTTTTACCTAAAAAAGAGATAAAATAGAAAGACTATTCTATTAACTATTTTACTAAAAGAACACCTCTAATTAATTGCGCTATTACTATTTATAACTAGGTATATAAAGTAAAAGGTAAAGTAATACTACCTCTCTTTCTAGCTCTATAGAAAGCTATACTTTAGTAAAGAAATACTTTAGCTAAAATACTTTATAAAGGTAATAAGAGCTAGTATAGTAAAAATATAGTATTTATAAATTATCTTATATAGTAAGATACTATTTATTAAATAGTAGCTATAATAAACTACTATAACTTTTGTTAAGATCTAAAAGAATAGTTATTATATTATAGTTATTAGAAAATAGATACTATAAGGCCTAGTGTAGTATTTTTATTACTACTATATTATCTTAGTAGTTCTTAACTACTACGTAAACTACTTAGAAGTATATAAATATGTATAGTTATAGTTAAGTATTAGTGCTAATAGCAATATATACTAAATATCTTAAAATCTTAAAATCTTCTAGCTATTCTAAGATAGTAGCTAGGTGTCTTTTAATATCTTTTTACTAAACAGAGTCTACAAAATTAGGCATAAGGTACTAATTATAATACTACGTAATAATGTTTTTATATTAGTACTTCTATCTTTATAAGATATTAACTATCTTTTTATACTTAAAAACTTAAAAGAAGAGATCTTATTAGCTTTACGTAAGCTATATAGTATTAAATAAAATTAGTAAATTATTATTAAAGATAGATTATATAATATAAGTTAAGTAGCGTAGCTAAAAGTAGCAAGGCAGCGACTATTAACTAGACTAGCCTCTAGCGAAATTAATAAGGTGCATTAAAATATTCTTAAAGACTTTGTTAACTAGGAACGACAAGTTAATCTTAAAACTCTCCGAGTTTATGTAGAGTTCCCTCATTCTGAGGATCGCCTGAACAGGCCAGGTGCTCGTATCAAGAAGATCAAGGATCTTGGACCCGCTATCGGCACTCTGTCCTTCCGGAAAGTATCCAAAGATGCCCAAGGACAACCGATAAGGGACATAACCCAACCAGGTGGTTGGCAACTCGATCCTCCTACTCAGGTAGTTGATCATCTGATGACAGGCAAGAAGACTCATCTATATTTAGTGCGTTGGCTAACGTCATTACAGTGTCTGGTCAGTCTGCCGTCCCAGGTCGAAAGGCTGTCAACGTGGGATCAGCTGGTGACCCGGTCTATTACGCTCAAGAAATGCTTCGCATCATTCCTTACCAACTGTACACACGTCCTGTTCCCGATCGATTTACCCGCAACATGGTCGAGATGGCTGCACTTGATCCAGGTCAATCGCAGTGGCTCATCGAAAATGAAGGCCTTTCTCAACTTGGGTTTGCCAACGCTAAGAATGAGGAGGTTCAGTTTGTGAGTAGCGACTCTCCACATTGGCCGCTCTGGAGCTAACTCGTGTGCAGCGTAATGATGTCCCACTGTCCTTGTATCCGACGATGCTACAGGTACCTTCCACAACATTGTCCTACCCTGAAGTCCAGTACCAATGGAATACGTTTCGTCCTGAGAAAGACAAGAAGGCGAACGACAAACCTCCATCCTTTACGCAGTCCGCTTGGAACCTGCAACCCTTCACAGCTTTCTACACCCCTAAAGTACAGACGTTGAAATACTTTGTCATTCATTCATTGGATTCGACAGTCCCCGTGGCCGGTTTCGAGACGGAGTTGCAAGACCAAATGCTCCGAAGATGCAATACGAAGGCCGAGGGGGTAGTCCGCTTGAATGCCAGCGAAGCTGCAAGTGAACTTAAAGGCTCTTCCTTGGAACTAAGAATGAAGCAAGCTAAAGAATCCGAGGCTGAGCTGGCGGTTTTGTTGCTTCAGAATTTCGACCGCAGCGCTTACTCGGAGTTCAAGAACCTGGCAGACCGCAAGTATGGGCTACGCTCTCTCTGTTTAGCAAAGCCGGCGCTATTCTCGAACTCCAAGTACATGAGCAACGTTGCTCAGAAGATAAACATCAAGTTCGGTGGTGTAAACTCTTACGTGGCGAAGGTCAAATCTTTCTTGGAGACAAAGACGCTCGTTCTGGGTGCAGATCTAGTACATCCCCCAGCTGGAGCACTCGAAGATACACCCTCTATTGCCTGTATGGTTGGTTCTATTGACAATCACGGCGGCTGTTTCCCGGGATCTGCCCGACTCCAAAGCAAGGACCGAGACGACCGAGAGGTAAGTTCCACCGTTCATCTCCCGAATTCTATTGACAGTAACCAAGATAATTGACGAAGAGAACATTATGTCAATGGTCAAAGAGAGGATCAAGGCCTGGCGGGTTGACAAGGGGGGTCTTTTCCCTCTGAACATCATCTATTATCGCGACGGAGTGTCCGAAGGTATGTCCACTGACCAGTTTTGTGTGTGACCTATACCTTGTTCAGCTTACTGACTTCATACCTTCAAACAGGACACTACCAGAAGGTAGTGAGCGTCGAGCTGAGAGCTATCCGCCGAGCATGGAGAGAAGCACAAGCCGCTACCAACACCATCTTACTGGGCGGTGTCAAGGATGTAAGGCTTACGGCTTTGGTGGGTGTGAAACGCCACCATACCCGCTTCTACCCGATGGCAGACAAGGATGCGGACACTGAATGGGGAAACAATAATTGCCTTCCTGGCACCTATGTGGACCGAGTCGTCACCTCGCCATACTATCGAGACTTCTATCTTCAGTCTCACAGCGGTGTCAAGGGTACAGCGAGACCAACTCATTACTTTATGCTCGCGGACGGAAAGATTCCTAATTGCACCACCATCGACGATCTTCGGATGCTGGTAAGTTCGCGCTCGCTTCATTGTTGGAAATAGCCTATAATCTTGGCTTCGTTACTCTTTGCTAATTACCCTAACAGACTCATAGTCTCTGCTACACTTACTGCCGAGCCACGGGTGGTATCTCTTACGCAGCCCCAACCTACTATGCCGACCGCTTGTGCGACCGAGCACGTCTCTACCTCCCCGAGTCTTGGACCGCCAACAACGTGGGGCTTCAGGCCAGCATCGATACTGCAAGGACCAACCACTCGACTGCACGTCAGAACAATCGTGATCTGCTATACCGTCAAGGACAGCAGTTCGACTCGACAGTGCATATTGCGAAGTCCAACGCGGAGCTTGCGGATGAAGGACAAGACGAGGACAGCCTTCGCGCCTTCACCAAGGACTTCGTCATGCAACACGCCAAGAACGAGTTCTACGAGTACAAGACTGACCAAACGGGAAACCCTTGGCACGAGTCTCTCGACAGGATCATGTTTTGGATGTGAGCCTTGGGTCATAGGACGGAACGGTAAGTCGATGGTGGATGTATCAGATTGCCACGGTGTATTTCCTTCTTTCCTCTTCGTTTGATTGTGTTTCCCTTCTTTCCTTTCGTCATCATGTCATTCCTTCGGTACTAGACAAACACTGAATAGGTACGCTGCTTATCAGCTGGTGACGTCCATTGCAACGTCAGGCTGCTACGTCACCTGTCCCCCTCTTCAATACCATCTTGTCGGTACAATTTTGTTTGACTAGCGCTGCCCTTGATGCATATAAATCTCCTCTCACGTCCTCATTCCTCTTCTTCTCTCCATTCATGGCGGCGAACTTGTGAGTTCGTCGACCAAAAGTTCAAGAAGTTAGAAGCATGTCTGTGTTTGGTATGAGTGTCCAAAATGGATGGGTTTGCAATGTATGATCGCTGTTTCTTCGTCGGGCGAGTCCAGGTGCATGAGGTTTACCCAGCTGTCTTTTTGTAATGCCTGCGAGATGTCTTCAACACATGTATCTGGTAATTTGAGTTTACATGAATCAAGAGGAAGAGCGATTTGAGGCTATGAAAGCCGCTTGATCGAGTCTCTCGGGGTATCTGCGAACGTAAAGCATCTTTGGATGACCTCGACCGAAGTCGTAGGACGGGAACAACATGGGTGGTTCATATGGCCTCGACGTTTCATAAGTTTGTCGATAACTGGTGAAGATGTTCTGAGTATTAGGCGTGTCGCCATACTCAGCGCCACCACAGCCAGCATCGAAATTTTTGTTGGCGATGGTATTGGTCTACTGACTGCATACGACCTCGTCCCACATCAAAGACCTTGTAGTATGAGATATAAGGTTGACGGTGATTGTCCAGGACTACCTATGCTTCAAGGATCTGTATTAGGAAAGATGTATCATTTTAGTCCTCTAGCTTCTTCAACAAGGCCTTCATCTTGGCCAAGAGATCCGGAATCCTGAACGGCTTTCCAACAACATCATCCATGCCCGCTTCCTTTGCGTCATCCATCTGTCCTCCCCGAATGTTCGCGGTGACCGCGATGATTGGCACATGTTTCGTAATCTCTTTCCGTTCCTCCATCTCTCGTATCTTCCTGCAGCAGGTGAGGCCGTCCATCTCCGGCATCTCGCAGTCCATAAGAATGATGGTGAGTGGCATGCCATTAGCAACGCAGAATCTCGTTTTCGCGAGATGCTTCAATGCCCAGACGCCGTTATCGGCGGTATGTGTGACACAGCCAGTTTTTGTGAGCTGTTTCACCAGTACCTTTTGGTTGACTAGATTGTCTTCGACGACAAGAACGTGAAGTCGGTCATCTTCCTCTTCGTCTTTCTTGTCGTCTGTGGGCCGGGGAATCTGTGCTTGTACCGGGGTCTCAACTTCCTTAGGCGTGGCAGCGGGCGCGGTGGAGTTCTGGTTCGCAGCTGCGGCGCTGATTTTGCGCGAAGATGCCGCGTGTTCGGCGTCTAGAGCGTGCTTCACTGTATCTGTTGAGATCGTAGGCTTTTTTGCAATCATGCGTTTGCATTTCAAGTAGAACCCGAAAGTACTGCCGACGCCAGCTTGTGACGAGACGCCGATCTGACCGCCGTGAAGCTCGGCAAGTTGGCGCGAGATGAAGAGTCCGAGACCGCTACCGCCGTACTGCATATGTGTCCGTGGAGACTTCACATTGAGAAATCTGTCAGCCTAGTTTTTGCAGTGGTTCGGGGCTGGTCGCTCCTCACAGCTTGCGCAAACTTCTCAAATAGCAGCGATATCTGCTGAGGCGACAAACCGCATCCAGTGTCCTGGACATTGAACCGAAGATAGACAAACGAGCCTGAGCCCCAACCCTCGCCGTTTCCGAATTCGCTCACGATTTGTCTTGGCGGAACAACTAACGGCGGGCGCATAGAATTAGCGCTTCACCTTCAGGATATTCAACTAATGCAGCTACTTACATTGGAATCCTTCTGGTACGCCAAAGTCTGGCGATTCCGCATGAGCACAGACATGAACTGTGATCGAGCGAATTGGTGCGTCCATAGTGAACTTGATGGCATTGGTAATAAGGTTGACGATGATTTGAAGGAGTCGACTTGGATCAAGAATGACCCAGTCAATTTCGAGGTCTCGGATACTCTGATGCGGAACGAACTTGAAGTCGATGTTCTTGGCTTGTATTTCAGGACGGAACCTGTTAGGATGATGTCAGCCCAGCTTCCGTATATATTCGACTACAGGCTACTAACATTGCCATAGACCGCTGTACAACGATGATAGGCTGCGCTGGAATTGGAGTGATGCGGAGAAGATTCGAGTCCAGCTTTGAGACCGTGAGAATATCGTCGACGATCGACTTTTGATGCTGAACACAAAGAGCGATGTTTTCAGCAGCCTCGATACAGTCCTGGGCCATCTTTCGATCGCCAGTGCATGAGAATTTATAGTGCGTCAGAGTATCTTTGATATCGTCGGCGCATATCAAGATCGCGGAAAGCGGGTCTAGATGTTGAGAAACGCGTCAGTAGACATTTCGAATGCAATCTGCATAGGGAGGGATATCGCTACTTCTCATCTCGTGCGACGTGATGTCGATGAATTCGTTTTGTTGACGCTTCGCCTCTTCTGCCTCTCGTAGTCTTCGTTCTTGCAGACCCTGCGCCCACTTCAAATGCGAAATGTCCGTGAGCGAGCCCATGATGCTGATCAGCTCACCATCGGGGCTTAGCTCTGGCTGACTAGCAGAGAGGACCCAATATTCGATTAGTGAACCGTCGATATCTCGGGGCTGGAATGTCGAGTTGGCGAATTGTAGCTCACGACTTGCTGGCTTATGGTGAGTTATCATATCTGGATGTTAAACTTTGTGGTTAGCGCTTGAAACATGCGACTGGCATGGCAATATCGCGTACAGTTCCACATGTCTTGTGCCACTTGCTTGCTCTCACCCACCATCATCTCAATAGTCCAAGGTAGTTTGGTTCCTGTAGGTGAGACACCTGTCATCTCGTAGTATTTCTCGTTCGCCTCCAATAAAAGTCCATCCGGATTGAATAGGTACATGCCCATGGGCGATAGTTCGGTCATTCGGCGCATTCGTCCGGTCTGAAGTTGGAGCTGTCGAGACATCTGTTCTCTTTGTAGGGTAGCCATCTCAGCGACTTCTTTGCTTTGCCGCACTTCACCTTCGAAAAGTAGTACTGACGCCAACGACGTGGCGATCTGTCTATTGAGCATGGCGATGAAAGACCTGTACTCATGATCATAAGCCCTTCGTGGATTGATGCCTATTAGTAACAAGGCACACACGTTGTCTGCATTGGTTGGTCGTAGAGGTAGAACTATGGCCTCTCTACAAGGATCCTTGTAGCCGCGCCATTCGATGATGTCTAACAGTGGCTGTGGAAGCGTATGGTCTTTGATGCTCAACATCCTGGGCTCCAGGGTCTGGGTAGCTGCTCGAAAAGCAGGTGTCAAGATACCATCGTAGTTCTTGAAGCTGAAATTGTCGGGAGACACTGCATGCCCTCTCGGCACGCCGATAGATCCTTCGAACACGCATGACTTGACAGACGTTGGCGTTGCATCTGAATGCGAGGAACCATTCTCAATGTCGTCTGCCTCGGTAACGGTATATAGAAGCGCAAAGGGTACGTCGTATTCGTTGTGATTCAGGCCTTCCAGCACTCTTATCCAGAATTCTTCTGAAATGTGGGTGCGCGGTTAGCGTCAGTCTCACATGAAGGATCGTCCATATTCACTTACTGACAGTACGTGTGGCGTTCATACGCTCCCCGAGGGATCGCAGTAACCACATTCTTCTACTGCTGATCGACTCAACCGTGGTATCAAAAGCATTGAGATAGACTACAGTTCGCATCTCAGTCAGCAGTTCCAGTATCTTTGGCTCAAGCCCACTGAGTCTCGCTGATACGCGGTACGGCAACGTTTCGCAGTGTTACTCACACCCCAAGACCCGCTCTGTTCCACCAAAGACCGGAACCTGTCCATCTGTTAGATGTATTCATGGGGCCAAATCGAGGGCATCAATACTGACAAAAGACCAAGTAAAAAAAGACTCTTCCATGTAACCGTAACGCATGATGGGTAGCGGCTGGTTGTGGTTTAGCTGCGCATGGCCTGTCCGAGCACATTCGCGAATTACAGGACCAACCGCATGCCACATTTCACCGAAAGGGCCTGAGAAACCGGTTCCCATCAAAGCCGGATGTTTATCGCCCGTCACGTCGTCTCGATAGGCCTCATTGTAAAGCATGGTCAGGTCCTCGCCCCAAAAGACAGAAGACGGGTGAGGGTTGCGCATGACCAAACAGACGATCTCTCTGAACTGGATCGACCATCTGTTCATAGCTCCTAATGGTGTATTTGCCCAGTCGATGCCCCGTATAAACTGTAGATGATCCGAGAGAATACCTCTGGGGTGCGGCACTGTCCAGTCAGGTACAGACGAGTCAGGCGTAGACAGAGTGATCGCTGAGATGCTCGACTTGCTATTCTTGTCACGGTCCTGGCCGAGGGAAACAAACGGGAACTTGGGTTGTTGCACATCTTCAATAATCTCCCGCGTCGGTATTGCCTCTGCGGAAGCTAAACGCTTCGCTGCGTCGGCAGTGAGATCGCTGTGTCCTTCTTTCTCGAGTCGCGGCGCTGATGCACACAGCGGATCCCCTTCGGGAACATCTTCATTCTGGAACAGCTTGTGTGCGCTAATCAGTCGCCAATTGGGATGGATCGAAACACCAAACCACAACAAGTTCTCGAACTCGATGGTAATCGGAAACATGTCCCTGGAATCGTTGAATCGGCTGAGGATTGTCGCCCATATTCGAAACTCGTCATGCGTTGCACTACCATCCACCAAGTCGCGATCGGTTGGTGAAGTGCCAATTACCTTCTCCAGTAGTTGGTGTTGCTCACGAAGTGCCGCATTGCAGAAAATGGGTCGTATCGGATTTCGACATCCCGTCGAATATTCGTCCATGTTGAGCATGAATGTGGGCCTGTCATCGAGATCCAATAGTTGCGGAAGGGTGCATGTGTTGAGGACGTCCAGAGCAGCATCTTGCCTTTGGGCCTGGTGTAAGACAGAAGGAGCTGTAGGCAGCGGTAACTGAAAGAACGAGCTACTCATTAGGGTCCAGATAGATCGTGTCGGCCCTGCGCGATGATAAAGCAAGGTACATTAGGAATAGGGAGGGCGTGCGTTTGTAGGGTCGATGTGCGACGTACAACGTGAAAGGTCGCGATGAGTCTGTGCCTGGGCCATAGACGCTATGAGCGTGGTAGCTACGGTTCCTGTGGACGTGACTACCAAGACTGCGACAATCAGAACATGATTGGCAGCTACATCATGACGCAGACCGTTGCAGACATTACCATGTCGCCGATACATCGCATGCTGCTTGAAGATGTTACTTCCCGTCGCAGCTATGCGAGCTCTTCCGCGAGCTGTACCATGCCTTCTCCAAGCCGGTAGGCATCATTCAGATGCCTGGGTAGCTTTGCGACGGGCTTTTTCAATGTAAAAAACAAAGAGATATCAATCGCATGCGCGTGATAAAAACCCATATAGCAAGCACGGTGTCGTTCAAAAGATGGGACGCTGAAGTAGATGTCGCGTCCGCGGGTGCGTCCCGGGACGGTTGTGAACCACGCTACCTGGTTAAAAATGACGTCACGCGTTTTTAGCACCAACACGCAATGTTCTCCGTATCGCAGAACGAGCAGATTGCTTTGCTGCACGATCCAACAAAAATCCTCTCTGATGTCTTGGCTGATGGTTCTTATGCGCTGGACCTGCGTTTTTGGATGGGGGCAGAAGCTGCTACTATCTCTCGATCCAAGACTTTGATGGAGCTCAAGACCGTTCGACTTCCGAGGTCCCGAGGTCCCTTTCTACTGTAGGCTGTAGGCATGGAATGATCCTATACACCTGACCATACAGACACCTCCAAATAAGCTCTTGTTGCGACATCGTTAGTATACACACCCAGACGAGCCGAGGGAACTCAGTGACAGCCCACGGCTTCAACGACTCCGAGAAGCTCGTCAAATCAGGCGCCATGGAACGCGCAGAATTGAGGGGGAAAGAGAAAAAGACAAGACATTCGAGACCAGATGCTTGGAGTTATGGCGGGGTAGAGGTGATAGTATGCGGTTCAGTAACTTTCCAGATGTTAACGCAGTAGTAGTGGTGCTCTAGCCACAGATTAGCCCGAACGAGGGGTCTTGGAAAGAACTACAAGTTTATTCTGGTGTAATACGCTAGCATACGCCTGAAACATACTCCCAGTGGTTGAGCATCGGAAGGAGAGATTGTGCGGGCTGGAAAAGACGAAGTACGGGGATAACTTCCGCAGGGCGGACCGGGTGTTTGGGCCGCGCTTTGATGTGCGGAGTGTGGGCCCACGGACATTTTATCAACGTCAAAAACACCCATCTGACGGACAGAATCCCTGGTCTCTGAGAAGAATTGCATGTGTATGTCTCCACAGCGCGCAAGCCTCATCGCCGATATCTTGACGGGCTGCTAAGCCGAGGTCGAGCGAGGTCAGGTCAAGAGACTGCCCAGGCGGTTGTCCAGGTGTGCTGGCAAGACTCGGCCAATCGCATCTTCACAACCCAGTCCGTCTATTTGGCTGTGGACGCAACTCCTCTTCTCTCCGCGCACTCTTCACCGGCCGATGTTCATGCAATCCTTGCTCAACCACCGTCACTACAATGCATCTCTAACACGTGCAGAAGGTTCGTTCGCGTGGATCGAATGCCGAATGCGCCAGAGCCATGCGTCAATCCGAGCCCAAGCGGAAAGTGGGTTCACGATGTCAGTGGCGCTCAACTGCCGCATTCAATAGTCTTCGAACCGGATCTAGTAAAGCAGCTCTTGATTCACTCAGGGGAGGGATCATGATCACAGCCCGTCCCGTACGCTAATGACTTACGTAGTGCATGATCTACAAGGCCTATGCAGATCGATATATACCAAGATGCGCTTCCGCGACTGTTCCACCTGGTCGGCGACGCTAGAGCGGTGACAATGTAAACATTTCGTGGTAGACTGCGATGCAACGTTTGGGCAGGATGACGATCTTGAGCTTCACGACTCGTGGTGTAAGAATGGTTAAAGAAGGGTCGTATGCTTGCTTATCTTGATCGACCAGGGCCCTGCATCTCCTCATCTTTTGGTCGTGCTTGCTTCTTGTACCAAGGTCCAGCAATTGTCAACATGCGTCTCTCCATCCAATCGCTAGCTCTTCTGAGCGTTCTCCCTGCGTCGCTCGCAGCTCCCGCACCATCTCCAGCTGCGGCACCTGCACCGATTGCAGCACCAGCACCGGCCGTCGACGCAGTTCAGGGACTGGATGAACGTCAACTGCTCAGTAAACTCACATCTGGTTTGACCTCCCTCGTTGGTGGCCTTCTCGGCCAATGCGACCAAGCAGTCAAGGACGGCGATGCCCCAAAGGTGCTCGACATCCTTCAGCAACTTCAGCCTACTTCGCGACCAACGAACATCGAAGAGGCAGTCGCCAGGCACTCCCAAATCTGGGCGAGCCCGACCACGCGAACGGACTTTTTCGCCGCTGTTGCGACCCAGATAGCCGGTGGCCTTGTCCTTGACGACACGCTAAAGGCCGCTTTCACCGGTGGTCTGCCCTTCGGCGAGAACAGCGTCAACAATAATAACCCAGCCACCGTCGGTATCTACCCCAAGAAGGACGCTGCTGATGCACCATACACACTATCCGAATCTGCGCTCCGAAAAGCACTCTTCATCCCACCTAGCTTCACCTACGGCGCGAAACGCCCAGTGATCTTTGTACCCGGAACTGGTGCTTATGGAGGCACAAACTTCGCCAACAACCTCAGGAAATTGTTGAATGGCAAGAGCTATGCTGACCCCGTATGGCTCAACATCCCCGGCGCTATGCTTGCGGACGCGCAAACCAACTCTGAATACATTGCCTACGCCATCAACTACATCAGTGCCGTCTCACGCACGAACAAGGAAAACATCGCCGTCATATCTTGGTCCCAGGGTGGTTTGGACACACAGTGGGTGTTGAAGTACTGGCCATCAACCCGCAAGGTTGTCAAGGACTTCCTTCCCGTGTCTCCAGACTTCAAGGGCACTGTCATCGCGAACGCGATCTGCTTGACACCGAACAGCGACATCGCGCTCCTTCCCTGCGACCCCTCTGTTATCCAGCAAGAGGCTACCTCCGATTACATTGCATCGCTCAGGCGTGATGGAGGCGACAGCGCATACGTACCCACTACGACCTTTTACTCCGGCCTCTTTGATGAGGTTGTGGAGCCTCAACAAGGCACCATCGCCTCCGCTTTCATCAAAGACGCGCGCAATGTTGGCGTCTCGAACAACGAGGTACAGAAAGTGTGCTTTGGGCAGCTAGGTGGCTCTCTCTACGGTCATGCCGGCGTTCTATTCAACCCTCTGACCTACGCGCTTATCGTTGATGCGCTTACGCACGATGGACCGGGTAATGTGGATCGCATTGATGTCAAGAGCGTTTGCAGTACCTACGCCGCTCAGGGTCTCGACCTTGACGATGTATTGGCTACTGAAGGGCTCATTCCTGTGGCTGGTGTACTACTGTTGACGTACCCACAAAAGATGTACGCTGAGCCTGAGTTGAGGGCTTATGCTAAATAGATGCGGCTCACAGATAGTTACGTTCAATATCACAGTCACTAATATATCTTGTAATTTGCTTCATCAACCTTGTTGAGCTATACTTTACGTGGAAGCGTGGAAGTGTGAAACCTTGCCCAAGCCAACAGCCTTCCAGTATGAAATCGCACATAACAGCCCGGAAACGTACTGCCATCGAACCAAGCACTATGTAGGCTCCAGTCAAGTGATGGAGAGATTTAGGCAACGAAAATCAGTATCCTAACAGCCAGTTCAGTTCACGTGCTGTTCCAACTTGTCTCATTTCTTCTCCTTCTTCTTCCTCCCTCGCTTACCAGGCGGTGTAGATCTCGCTGGTGATTCAAAGGACGACCGAGGGAACGAACTCGTAATGTTCGAATACCCCGGATGATGCGCGAAGGCTGGCATACCCGATGGAATCGCATGCACACCCGGATGAGTCGGATAGCCGGGCGCCGGAACGGTTATCGCTTGTTGACCTGGTGGCTTCACTATGTTACCACCGGGCCCTACTACTCCCACCGCAGTGACGTCTTCTTTAGCGACACCATGGTCAAGGAGGAACTGATCCATCGCCGTGAGCGTAGTAGGGTTCTTGGCTTTTATAGCTCTGTTGATCTCCAGAATTTTGGCCACCTTCTCTGCTTTAGGGAGACTTTTGAAAGCCGGCATACTAGCTGCAAGCTGAGCTGTGTCGGTCCAGTCCGGTGTGGTAGTAGTTGCGGGGGCTCTGGGAACGGACTTGGAGATACCAGAAGGTCTAGTGAGAGTCGGGAGGCCAGACTGAGTAGTTGGACGACGGTTGGAAGTATTTCCGGACTGCGACCGAGGCGCAACAGGAAATTTATGTTGCTTAATCTTGAGCGAGGGCGCCTGGCCTGGCTGGAGGGATTGCGGCTGTGCTAAAGATGAATAGTCCGCAGGCTGGTAAGAACCCAATTGTGGGGAGTACTGCTGGATGGGCTGAGCTGGTGTATACATCTGCGCCGTAGGAGTCGGTGCCGGGGTTGGGAGCCGGGATGGCACTACACTCCGCTGCTGCCCGGTCTGCTGTACGTAACCCGGAGTAAGATGCTGCTGAAAAGCCGGGCGTGGTGCGTACGGCAATTCCGGGCCGTTCATAGTATCATTGGACTGTCTCTTATAAATTGGCGACATCATCTCGTGTTGACGAGCTTGTAGAGAACCTTGAGAGCCGGGTGACGGGTGCTGTAGTCCAAGTCCTTGCTGCTGATTGGGAAGCTGACCCTGTCTTCTTGCCCAGAACGCCTCGATCTCTTGGTTTCGACGTTGATAGTGCTGCAACTCAGGAATAGTCAAGGTCCCTGAGAGCCCAGGTTCAGTGAAGTCGCCCGGGTTTGCGTAGAGCAGACGAGGGTCGATATCGTGGTTCGTGGGTGGTCTTGCTGTCATCGCGAAAGTTGATGTTCCTGGTTGATTATCCACAGATGAAGGGGAATAGTTTGGCACTGATATGTGCGTAAGTATCCACAATTAAGCAAAGAGTTCGCTGCAAAAGAGTCTACGGCCTATGTAGCAGTTGAAATTTGGACAGCGTAGAGGAATTGAGGGTGTATATATGACATTACCGAGATGAAGGAGCGGAAGTGTGAACAGTGTGGGTTGGATGTAGGGCTTAAATGGGGTGAAAAGCGTTGTGCTTGTGACGGTGTGGTAGCAAATCTGGTGAAAGCGCGTACATACCTCTCGCGTTTTCGGGCGCAATCTGCATGAGCCGTACACTTTCGTACTTCTTCCATGCTTCACTGGGCTGCGCATTGCGATGCAGCAGCTCGTAGGGTCCCTTTAGCTGCGCCCGCCGGATGAGAAACCTCGCCAGAGGCTGCAGGTTATCCGTGAGTCCATTAAGCTCGGCTGGGAGACCTTGGTGTCTACGTTCGATCGCGAAGAACACGCGCTCAAAAAAAAGATCGTCGCCGTCGATAGATGATTTCTGGAACGGATCAGCACCCCGGCGGCGGTCAAAGTGAACAAATGAGGGAACTTACGGGCTGGAAGCTAGAGGTCTCGAGCGCTCGCTGAACGTACGGCTCAATGTCGAGATCGTTACGCAACAAGTGCTTGAAGGCGTAGCGCAGGTAGGGTGTGAGGGTCTGCGCAACCCATTGCGGATAAACGGGGAGTATCGGAGCGCTCATTCTAGCGTTCCTGTGGCTGGGACAAAAGTCGTTGCGCGGTCAGTGAGGGGAAATGTTGAAAGCGGCAACGAGGATTTTAAGAAAGTGAAATCGTAGAGTATGCGAAACAGTTCACCGAATTCACCACGACAAAGCTGCGACAAGGATCGAACAAAGTGAAGGGCAGAGTATATGAGACAATTTCCCAGCTTCACCACGAGAACCAGCGACAAGAATTGATAATGCGAGATAGCCTACTGAGCTCATCTCGACTTCACCACGACTTCCGTAGACCTGAAGTGGGTGAGCTTTGCTCTATAGCATGTCGGAAGTTCGAGGTGAATGAGAACGACGATTGCCTTCGCCTACGAGCCGCACATTGCGCGAGAATAGCTTCGACCATGGCAAGCAATTCATGCAGATAGATCAGTCGTTCTTCTAGAGGCGTTGCTTGAAACTATCCGAAGTAGACTTGCAACTGGGTAGAGCGCGGATGAGGCTCAGCGAGAAGATGAGAATGGGGAATAGCGTGTACAATGTTTCGCATGCAGCAAGCAGATACAGCGCTGCGTCTATAGTACAAGCTATCGAGTATCCGAGTTGGCTGAAGTGATTTGAGATGAAGGTGGTTGAGGATGGATGGTCAAGCGCAGTCGCGTCCACATACGGGTAGGGGCGCGTCAGGGACGCGACTAACAAAAGCGGGGCGATGACGCACTCACTATCATCCGCCTGTCGTCAAACTCGCACCTCATTCACGCTCATCGACATTTTCAGTACGGATCTCTCGGGCCAAACATATGGCTCTTGCTCGTCGTATCTCGCAGCTTTGCATGCTGACGGGTTGTCTCAGACCCCACGGCGAAGCCAAGGCACCAACACGGCGCAGCGCAACTCGGGCGTATAATACGCACATATACACGTCCTTCTTCTTGGCTACCGTCGATCGCATCCAGCGAGTACTTATTCACTGCGTAAGCTTTCAGTGTGGGCAGATCAACAGTGCCGTCTAGGGAAGAACATCGTATGGCTGTATGGCTACTTTTCCTCTCGACAAGAGAGAGCCATATCAGCACAGCTATGCTCAAAGACTCGGCTACCTGGGTCTTGGCCCTTCTTTGTCAGACCGGGTCATTCGTAGGATTAGCGTTACTCTGATCTAGCGGCGAGGAGAGACAATGGATGACGGCGTGGGGCGTAGTCGACTTTCACTTTTTTTAGCCAGCCACTGACACAAAGACGCGACACTCCACCGGCCACACCATGTTTCTTGACCACTCCATGAGGATAAGCTGAGAAGGAAATCGATGTTTGGCCACAGTTCGGGTCCTGCACGAAGGCAAGAAAGACGCTTCATTGGTACCAGCTATGCAAGGAGGGAAAGTTGAGTGAGACTACCAGTGTATAGTTATGTACGCGAATATTTACTCTCCGCTGCGATTTCACTCCAAGTTCACTTGGCCATTCCGCCACAATCTCGTTTCCCATAAAGTGACGACTCTGACTTCCTCGACTATTCTAAGCATCTCCCAAACAACCACCGAGTACACCAATTTACTTCCTCTCGAAACACCAAGTCAAGATGAAGTTCGCCCTCTTCATCAGTACCTTGCTCTACACTGTCACTGTTCTAGCCGCTCCTGGAGCTGTACGTCTCTCCATACCTTCAGCCTAGAGACTTCGTTGACACCATCCTACCAGGTCTCCCTCAAGCGTTCCTTCAAGACCATTGCAGTCCGCGACGGCGATAACGTCGAGGGTACTGTGCAAGTTGCCTGTATCGAGTGTCCATGTGGAGTAAGTCTCCTCATCGTCGGCCTTTTCCTCTGCAAGGGCGGCGCATGGAGTATTATCAAGATTCACTGACGGCGCCTCCAGGGCTTTACTGGCGCTTGTGAATGCGTCTCGGGGGGATGCTGCTGTGATGATGACGGCCATGTCGAGGTGCCTGAGGGTGGCTGGAAGGCTTAGACAACGGCCGTGGCCAGCGCCCTAGCAATCGTTGTCCAGTCTTTAGTTTAGCTGTCATTTCTTTTCACGATGGCCTCAGGCAGTATACCGTCTTGAATATGATGGTGGGTACTGCTGCTTGCATCACTCTATTGTTACGAGACGAGTGGACAGCGAAATTGGAAACATCTCCTTGATTGAGTCTCAGGCATTGTCACTGCCTAGTCATATAGTTTGAGACATATATCCATGATCCTTGAATCCTGTCATTTGCCGTGAAGTCGTACATCCATCCCTTATACATCCACATGCTTGCACCCCAGAAGACTTCACTCAGGGTGCGTCCATTCCGGTCTTGTAGTGACAAAGTAGCCCTCAAGAACGAGGCCAGGTGCAGTTCTTCTGGAGACAGCAGCCGTTGACGACACATGTGCAGCCACCGTAGAAACCCTAGACGCATATTTATCAGCCAGGTACAGTATCGTTCGTTCTGCGATAGATAGCAGAGGAGATAACTTACGTTGCATGGACACTCGACACATGCCGTGAGAGTATCGGCGACTGTGGCACCGCCGCCATCAACGCCAGTGTCGGCCTCGATGAAGGAGCGCTTGAGGGAGATCTTTGGGAAGTGACTGTCAGTAATAGTATCAAACAGGATGATGGTACATGGGGATTAGAACTTACAGCTCCAGGGGCGGCCATGGTTGTTCCGAAGAGGAAAGTGGCGATGATGGTGGTAGCCTTCATGTCTGCGACTTGGTGCTTGGTTGCTGGATGTAATGGAGATTGCGGTACTGAGTGTGATGGAAAGTCTGAAGCAGTTGATGATTGTGAGCGAAAGCAAGGTGTGGATCTTCAGCAAGGAGAAGAAACGGGGGATTATATGCTGTGTGCGACTGCTTCCCCAGAATGCGGGTAGCTAGCGTAGAAACTTCATACAGCAAGCACGCCCGCGTTGAGCCTGTTGAGCCTGTTGAGCTTGGACTTTTCAGTCTTCTAGACCGCTAAGGGCTGTTATCCTCACCCGGTAGGAGATAAATGTGCTCACGGCAGGAGGCGACTATGCGATTGCGCCTTCCAGACTGCGTCGGCCTGCCACGCATCCCGAGGTCGCTCCTGAAAAGGCCGGCCTGGAGCTGGAGCTTTAGTCTCCATCGTGACAGGTCTATAAATCCCCACTGGAGGAGCCACTTCAAGGATGCTCTAAGAGTTCCTGTAATTTCCAAGCTCTTACTGAGTCCTTCCAATCGTGCCTGCTCTGGCAATGTAAAGTAGTTCAAAATGTGTCTTGAGCTGATCCTAAAGTCATTCTCCTTAACTTCGGCTAAGAAGATTACGAGACTGATACAGCAACGAAGTAGGTAATGTAGTCGACCAGCGCGACTTCGCGTAGATACCATTCGCGAGACGAACTCAACGTAATTCAAGACAAAAGAAATGATTTCTACAAATGAGACAACATGGAGAGCGGTGTTACTCGACGAGAGCCCGATTTTTTGCAGCATGTTCAAGAAGGCAAACAAATAAAGGAGGTGCTGGAGCAAGTAAGTCCGATTGGGTGGCTTGTCAGCTTTGGATAGGGATTGGTATGGAGATGAAGATAGTGTCAGTCGATTGAATCTTTGAGGGACGAAGGATAACGCCGTTGTGTTTTTTGTTCGCTGCGGGGTCAAGTCGAATAGAAAGTAAAGAGAGTGGAGTGGTGGTTGCGACTAACTGCCCAGGTGCCAGCACGTGCCGCGTGCGCGAAGACAGCCGTCCGGGGTCGTTTCGTGGCCACCTGGGCAAACTTCGCGCTCTCGTTGCCTACTATCAGATATCTGTGCATGCCCATGTCCCATGGACTCATCAAGCGGCGTGTCTTCCTCATGCAGCAAAAACGTCTGAACGGTCTAGCCTCTGCGCTGCAGGGTCCGGCACCTGATAGCTTCACGTCGACGTCATCATGCCGAAACCGCGACGCGCAACGCCTTTCTCAACAGGCTGTCGCCGCCAGCGAGGACGATAGACCACCTCCAATATGAGACTGTGATCTCTACGACACTAACATTTAGCCTCTGCTAACATTGCATGCCTCTCTGGATCACGTCGGCCTGCCCGCATTCCAGCCATTACCCAGTCACGTCTCTCGAGTTGCGCGCATCGCTTGCGGCAGACCCATCGCAAATATGTCGACTGATACAAAGCAGCAAAAGAACGCCAAGTTCGGTCATCTGCCTCTTTCTACGTCTGGACCACAGGAGACTAGCCTGACTGTACTACACGCCCACCCACTCTAGTAGCCATACGACTAACACACTGTCCAGGGCAATGCACTTCTACGAACACCCTACTTCAACAAGGGCTCGGCCTTCACCAAAGAAGAGCGCGATGTCTTCAAGCTTCATGGGCTCCTTCCCACCAACGTCCAGACCCTCGACGAGCAGGTCAAGCGCGCATACGCCCAGTACTGCTCCCGACCGAATGACCTCGCCAAGAACACCTTCATGACGAGTCTGAAGGAGCAGAACGAAGTATTATACTACAGGGTATGCGACGGTTGATGGTGTCGGTCATGGCATGGCATGGCTGACGGCTGCAGCTCATCCTCGACCACCTCAAGGAGATGTTTTCGGTCATCTATACCCCCACTGAGGGCGAGGCCATTGCCGACTATTCCAAGATCTTCCGGCGACCTGAAGGTTGCTTCCTCAACATCGACGATGCAGACCGCGTCGAGGACGATATCAAGCAATGGGGAAATCCCGACGATATCGATGTGATAGTCGTGAGCGACGGGCAACAGATACTCGGCATTGGCGATCAGGGTGTAGGAGCCATCCTCATCAGCATAGCGAAGCTCGTCATCTACACTCTGTGCGCAGGTATACATCCTTCGCGAACACTCCCTGTGGTCCTTGACTGCGGCACCGATGTCAGTAGAGAGACCCCAATCAGATGCGCATTGCTAACGAGAGTAGAACAGAGACCTTCTCAACGACGAGCTTTATCTTGGCATGCGAAAAGAGCGAGTATACGGCGAGCGATACGATGACTTCGTCGACAAGTTCGTAAAGGCTGCGAGAAAACACTACCCCAAAGCCTACATCCACTTCGAGGATTTCGGATTGAACAACGCGCGAAGGATTCTGGACAAATACACGCCTGAGATCGCATGTTTCAATGACGACGTACAAGGCACCGGCTGCGTAACGCTTGCAGCCATCATGGCAGCTTTCAAAGTGAGCGGAACCAAATGGGAAGATGCTCGCTTTGTCATGTTTGGCTCGGGATCAGCAGGCACGGGAATTGCAGACCAGATCCAAGATGCCATCGTCCAGAACACCGGAAAGTCGAAGGAAGAAGCTGGACGCCAAATTTGGTATGCTTCTTTAATCACTCGATCGACGAGCCCACGCTGACCCCAGTATAGGTGCGTCGACAAGCCTGGTCTGCTTTTACAAGGCAAGAAGGATCAGCTCACTCCGGCCCAACTTCCGTTTGCGCGAGAGGACAAGGAGTGGGAGGGCAAAGAACATGGCGATCTTCTGTCCGTCATCAAGGAGGTGAAGCCACACGTTCTCATCGGTACCTCGACCAAGCCAGGTTCGTTCTCAGAAGACGTCGTTCGAGAGATGGCGAAGCACGTCGAGCGCCCTGTCATATTCCCACTATCGAACCCAACCAAACTCCATGAGGCCAAGCCGCAGGATCTATTCGACTGGACCGATGGCAAAGCGCTGGTGGCAACCGGTTCGCCATTTCCACCGGTCAAGCACAATGGCAATGAATACGATATCTGTGAGTCTACAATTTTCGTTCCGTAATGATGTTGCTGACCGCTCCAAGCTGAATGTAACAACTCGGTAACGTTCCCTGGCATCGGCCTCGGTGCTGTCCTCTCCCGAACCCGCCTTATGACTCCCGCTCTCCTCGTCGCAGCTGTACAAGCCCTTGCCTCGGAGGCTCCTGTTCTGAACAACCGCGGAGCCGGTCTCTTACCAGACGTCGAAGACGTGCGAGAAATTAGCGTCCAGATTGCGAAGAGTGTGATCAAGAAGGCTGTGGAGGATAATCTGGCCCAAGAGAAGGATATACCAAGTGGCGATGCAGATCTAGAGGAGTGGATCAGAGAGCAGATGTGGGATGCAAAATATCGTCCGTTGAAGTTGGTCGAACACAGCAATGCGACTGCACATGCGAGAGGAGAAGCAGGCACAGCGAGTGGGCAAAGAGAAGCAAAGCACTAATGGTAGAGGGACATACATTGCCTGACTCTGTGTCACCAATCTGATGTATCTTCTCGCCCAGTGGTCCTCTCTTTCTCATTCAATCATGACATCGAAACAAGTACTGTACTTGTTCGCACCATCAAAATTCCACACCCATACCATCATATGCCGACCCTTCTCCATACACTCTGGCCTATACCAGAACGTTAGCAGGGAACTCCTCCGATCACATCTGTCCCCGCTCCTAACAAAACAGCACCAACGAAAAGAAGATGGACTTACAAATGTACCGTTTGCCAATTTCCCTTATCTTGCAGCGCCGGCGGCGCCGTAATCTTCAAGTCCGCCGGATACGCAAAGCTCTCTTCACTAAACCCATTATCCTGCACAAGACTCTCTTTTGTTAATTCCTTCACATCCACAATCTCCTTTTCTTTACTACCAGCCCAGTACACGGAGACCCTTCCCGGATCGCCCTTTTCCACGCCACCGAAATTACCCCGGCTGTGTCCGTTGCCACCAAACATGAGTGTTATGGATGACCCGGGTGCGGCAGTCGCCATTGGGGCCGGCGCGTCGTGGTGGGGTGGCTTGCTACCAGGTTCTTGCGGGATCGTAGGAGTTAGGTATTGGGCTGGCGCGCGTTGGCGGGGGTGGCAGGCGTGCGTGTCGCCCTTTGAGGCTGCGGCGGGGAGATCCCATAAATCTGGATGTTGTTAGTGGGGATGTGTAAGAGAGGAGGAGGAGGGGTACACGAACATTCTATGCCTTCGTCTCTCCAATCGCCTGGGTTCTGCTTTGCGCGCGGCCAGCCGTGGCATAGGTGTGCGAAACCCGGCATGCTGTGAGAGCGTTAATTTCCTTCAATTGTACGTGTGAGCAGAGGGTATATACATACAGCGGATCAACCGGCGCCTGTGGCGTTGCAAGTGCCGCAGCTGCCATGTCGGCTTTTATACCGGTGTTGTTGTGGTTGGTGCAATGCAGCCATGAGTGTGCTGAGGCTGTGGTGAACAGCGTTATCGCTGTTGCTAGAATGATCAGCTTCATGCTTCTTGGAGGTAAAGAGTACTCGGTAGGAATGGGAATATGCGAAGAAGAGAGAAACTGGGGATACGTAGATATGGTACTCGAGGTTTGAAATGGGTGGCAACGAAGTGCCGCTATATAGCGGAGACTTATTGAATCCTAGTGTTTTGTTCGTGGACACGGTATTGATGGGGACGTATGTGATCATACAGATCGTGACTTCGGTATTGACAATATTCGCATGGCTGGCATTGTTGATCACGAAATTGGTTAAAGGAACCGTAGCGCGCCCTAAGAGGGGGTTAAAGTAATCTTAATAGCAAATTAAAGCCTTAAAAGGCTGTTAGGGGCCTATTATCTAAAGTTGTGCTATTAAAAGCCTATTATTACTAATATTATAACATAAAATAATAGCTTTTATAGAGCTATTATACCTTGCTATTAATAGCTTATAGCTACCTTTTACATAAAGATACTTATTCTACCTATAATAGAGGTTACTTTTAA